TCTCTCTCTCTCTCTCTCTCTCTCTCTCTCTCTCTCTCTCTCTCTCTTTCTCTCTCTCTCTCTCTCTCTTTCCTAGAAATAGAGTTAGATCTTTTTAAACTACCCTATCCATCCATAGTTGTAGCACACATTAAATTTAGGAAAACTTACAGATATTCATGAGTAGAGATCTTGACTTCGGTTTCAGGAGATGAATAAAAGTAAGAGAAGAGATAAGGAAAGAAAAAACACAAAAGGGGAGAGGGAAAATCAGGAAGAGAAAGACAAAGAAGATAGAAAGGAAAGAGAAAAAAGGAGAAATCATGGCAAAAAGAAGAATAGGATGAGAAAAGCAAGAATAGGATAGAGAAAGCAAAAAAAAAGTAAGAAAGAAGAGAAGAGGGAAAAGGGAGAAGGGTAGAGAGTGAAGGGAAAGCCTTTCCTTTATATGTCTTCTATATATGCACACACCCCTTCTAGAAAACCCAAATAAGGTCAGGAGGAAACTAAGATGAGTAGTCACCACAACTGGTTATTTTTAAAATATCCATTGAGCTCAATAGCTCAGCTGGACTGTTTTTTTTTATAGAGTCATTCAATCTGATTTACTATATTCAGTTACTCTTGATGAAAGGGTTTGATAGTAAAGGATGCCTTTCTACCACTGGCATATTGCTGAAGACAACTTAATGAAGTCTAACACATGCTTCTTACAAAAAAAGGTAAGTCTTGTTTTGTTTCTAGGATGAAAATTTAGGTGCTCCAAATGGAGTTCATAGAATCCTAGAATTTTATCTTATTCTATTAGATTAAGAATTTTATTTTATTCTATTCTATTACACTTGCCATAGGAAAGTCATTTTGCCCTTTTGAGACCACCCTCCCACGAAAGTGAACAGGAATGCATTCTAATAAGTATAGGGGCTAGACTAAATTTAAGACTATAAATTCTCTAAGGTAACTTAAAGTTCTGAGAATTTGCTGATGCTCAACATAGTGAGAATACAAGTCCATCAAATGCCAAAACAAATGACCCTGTGCTCTATAAAAAGTTTCTTGGGCTTTTCTGTATTTTTTTACGTTTTTATTTCTTACTTTCAGAAATAGCAAATTAATTGCGTTGATGACCCTTATAATCATCCTCCGTACCACAGGAGATCAGTGAACTCCTCTCATAGGTCTATGAATTTTTGCTTATCTCAGCTATGCCACCTGTCCATCCAGCTTTCCAGCAGGGTAAGGGCTGGGATTCCTCTTATGGCATTTTCCAATGGCACCAGGTTCCACTGGCACCATATGTCTCTGTCCCAACTGCATGAGGAGGACACACATCCTTTCATAATGGGGATTCAAATCCCAGCTCTGCTTACTTAACTCCTGTGTAACACAACTCTCTGTGCCTCAGTTTCCTTATATGGAAAATAAGGAGATTGTACTCAACAGATTCTAAGGTACTTTCCAGTTCTAAACCTATAGTCCTATGACCCAATATCTTTAAGACAAATATTAACTTGGGAGAACAACTGGTGAGATCTCACCTTAAACAGCCTGCCTGGCCTGATAGTACATCCATTTCAAATACCCCAGTACAGTTCTCAAGTCTTACGAGCCTTGGTATTTCTGTAAGCTTCAAATTAATCTAAAATAGTGACACTATAACTATTTAAATTCATTATAGTTTTAAAGTTAGTTTTATGCTCAATAACAAGGATTGTGACCTAGCTCAGTACAAAGATCATTGGACTTGGGAGTCAAGAGATCTATGTTTGAATACTGGCTCTGCTACTATGACTATTTGGTATTCAGTCATTTCAGTCGTGTCTGATTTTTCGTGATTTCGTTTAAGGTTTTCATGACAAAGATACTAAAGCAGTTTGACATTTCCTTCTCCAGCTCGTTTTACAGATGAGGAACTGAAGCAGACATGGTTAAGTGACTTGTCCAGGGTCACACAGCTAGCAAGTGTCAGAGGCCAGATTTGAACTCAGAAAGATGGGTCCTCCTGACTTCAGGCCTGACTCTCTTTGCACTATGGTGCCACCTAGCTGCCCCTAACTATGACTATGGGCAAGCCATTTAACTTCTCTGAGCCTCAGTTTTCCTCATCTGCAAAATAGGGATGGTGATGATGATGATGATGATGATAAAAATCCTAATAATAGTACTCGCACTACCTACATCACTGAATTCATAAGATCATTGATTTAAAGCTGGAAGTGACCTTAGAGTCAGTCAGTCCATAAACACGTATTAAGTGTTTTCTATGTGCCAGCTATTGTGCTGAGTCTGATCCTCTCATTTTACAAATAAGGAAACTAAGGCTGAGCAAGGTTAAGGGACTTGCCACCCAGGGTCACACAGGTAGTCAGTGTCTTCCACAGGCTTAGACTCCGGCCAGTGCTTTCTCCACAATCCACCTAACTGCTTCTGGGGTTGTGAGGATCAAATGTGAAGTGCTCTGTAAACCTTAAAAGTACTATGTAATTGTAACATGATTCTTCTGAAAAGGTAACATACCTATAGGGTCATGTTTTCTTTGGCCAGAGGCCACCTCCAAATGGCTCAATGTTAAAGCAATAAGGGGCCTCAAATAACATCTAATTCAATCTCCCTGTTTTTGGAAACCAAAACAGAGGCATTAAATGCCCAATGGCATTCAGCTCAGAAGCAACAAAGCCAGGGCTAGAAATAGATTCTCAGTCTTCTCATGGAGTGCTTTCCCCACTCGTCTACTTTGCCAGGTGACAAACTCTGCTTGGTTGCTCAGCACCCTTGGACTCCACGCTGGATCTGCTTCAAACAAGCAACTCATCAAGAATTAGATGGCCTGGGTTTGAAGTTCAGCTCTCCCACACACTCTCTACGTGAATCTCGGCTCAATCACTCCACTTCTCTGGGACTCAATTTGCTCATCTGTAAAGTGAGGGAGCAGATAAAGTGACCTCTAAGGCTGGCATAGTTATAAGTCTATGATTCTGTGTTCTTTTAGGGCAGGAGTTCTTAACTGGGAGTCCAGCAGATTTCAGGGGGTCCATACAAAAGAGGGTAAGAACCCCTGAGACCTAGAATAGGATCTTTACTTGCTGGCTCCTTCCCTTTTCATGTGTTTCTCTACTTATAACTGTTCCCTAATCCATATTCTTACTGTATCTGACTTTTAAAATACCCAAAAATTGTTGGCTGCTGGAAAGTTTTCCATGAAACTTCTTGGAATCTCTTGAGAAAAGATGCTGTACAAATACAAATAAACTCCAGATGAAATGGGATTGTCTCTCTTGTGCAGTGAAGCATAACTTGGTCTTAAAAAGCTGAGTCCTTCAAATTAAAAGCACCCCAAGAATTTTTATCTAGTCATGGTGGTTTTTTTTTTCAAGAATTCAACACTTTTCATCAGAAGTTTGCGGATTAGACAACTGGATCACGTATGTGCCACCGCTAAAATGAACATTTGGTGGTAATTAAAACAAATATAATAATGCTCATTTTCTACTATTGTAAAGCACACACAGATCTTTCTGATCTATTCAATCTACTTAGTTGACTGGAGCATTTTAAGAAATGAAGTTTGCACAGAAACATTAGAATTCAAAATATAATTTGTGTTTATTGTATTGCTTGTTATATGGATTAACTTATTGAAAAACTTTACAGACTGCCTCAGGCTTGTTTCTGCTAACTACATATGATGAACCAATATACTGTTATTTTCTTTAATTTGCATTGAAAAATGACATTATGCTCTCTTGTTCCGTTTTTAATTTTATATTCAGTTCCAAATTCTTTCCATTTCTCCTCCTCCATCTCAACCCATTGAAAAGGCAAGAAAAACTAAAAGCCATTACAAATATGTATAGACATGTAAAACAAATTTCTACATTAGCCATTAAACCAATAAATATACTGTTAAAAACAAACAAAAAATCCTGCTAAAGTTATTCATTTGTCCCATGCTCTCTACTTACAATGCTCCCTGAGACTGTGAAATTGTTTAGGTATAGATGTTGATCAAGATTTCAATTTCATTTCTAAAATGGTTGCTTTAGCTAAGGTAGACCTCATTATTGAAGAAAACATTTTAATACACTGACAAATCAGCTGCTTTCCTAATGTGCTGGTAGTGACAATGGTGATATTGGTGGTGTGTATCCCAACTAAAATTTCACCTTCTATGGGAAGCTTTCCCCACTCCCTCTTAAATATAGTGTCTTCCTTCTCTTAATTATTTCCTATTTATCCGTGTGTGTGTGTGTGTGTGTGTGTGTGTGTATCTGGCTTTGTATATATTTGTTTGTATGTTGGCTCCCCGATTGGACTGTAAGCTCCTTCAGACTCAGGACTGCCTTTGACTCTTCTTGCATTGCCAGTGCTTAGCATAGTGCCTGGCACAAATAGTAGATACTCAATAAATGTTTATTGATTGATTGGTAGACTGATCTCAACTTATTGAGTGGGGTAGGCTCCGCTTTTTATTCAATTATTATCCCCATTTTTAGAGTCAAGGAAACAGAGGCAGGCAGAAGTTAAGTGACTTGCAGCTAATAAGTGTTTGAAGTTAAATTTAAAACACAGGTCTTCCTGACCCTAGGTCTAGTGTCCTATCTATTCTGTCACCTAGCCACCTAGCCCAAAAATAAAAGATGGACTAATTTCTCTATCATTTCACAATATCAGATGAAATTAAATATTATTTTCCTATCATGTCATTTTTCCACCTACTTGAATTAAGGCATGCATCAATTATTCAGCAATAATAAGGGTATTATTCAGTTCCCTCCCCCCTTAATAAATAATGCCTCTAGATTCTAAGTACCTTGTCGACATGGGGTGTTTAACTTTGCCTTCCTATCTCAGCACTGTGTCTCCCCCATATTAGGTGCTTCATAAATATTTCTTCCATTGAACAAATCTCAATTTATATTTATTGATCTCTCACAGCTCACATCTTCTCTATATTTAGACCAATCACTGATTTTTCCTGTTATTTACTTCTGTGAAGCACCCAGGTTAGCTAAGTACAAGACTTTCTCACACAACATCCTCGGGCCTATTGTGTTTTTGCCTTTGCACAGGCCATCCCTAACTCCTGGATGCTCTTTCCTCCCTTTCATGGCTTAGCTACTTTCCAAGTTCAGCTCAAGAGCCACCATCTCCATGAAGCCTTCTCAGATTCTCCCTTGCCCTTCTCTCAAGCTGGAACATTCT